TTGAACTGAGGTCTTTGAGATGTTCTAGGACGCCTCAATCTCGCGATATGTCACATGTCTATCTTCAATGATGAGTGCGCACAGCAGCGACGTTTTCCTGAGTGACTGCCGTTTTTGGTGCACCCACCCTGGGATCGTGGCTAAGACTCACCCGTCCACGTTTGAATTCTCCATACCAACGGGAAATTGTCGACTGATGTGGCTCTTAGTTGCCAAAAACAGACAGTAACTCAGCAAGGCATTCTTGTTGCGATAATTGTCTCTGAAAGTTGTAATAAATTATGGCGCGAAAATGTTCTCGGCTGAGTTACATTTTTCTAATGACTTGGTGACACTTAAAAATTCACTGTAGTATTGTTGTGAAACATGGAATTTACGGTTGCTAGAGTGTGAGGTTAAGATTGAGTACTGACGTTCGATCCGCGCGGCCTACTATGTTTCTATATGCAAAACTTAAAACATGCCTCATACAATTTCTACGGCTTTTCTACGACTTTCAGTACAATAGGATTTTTTGAGTCACCGATTTCATATCTGGGAAAGCATTTAATTTGAAGGGTATTCTAAGACAACTTAAAGGATTAATTCAAAAAAGTTAAATACACGTATCCGACCCCCTGCAATAATATGGCAATACAGTAGAACCCCGATTATCCGAAATAATGTGGACCCAAGTGCTTCCGGATAATCGAAATTTCGGATAAAATGGAAATAAATCTTTAGACTCATAATGTTTTTATTGAAAAAAGTAAATGTGTGTATTAAGTGAATATATACTTATATAAAGTTACGTACAATATAAACATGTGGATACAAACATACATATTTACGAATATTTAGTAACAAAGAAGTAATTTCTAACTGTACACGTTTTGCATTGTTCCTATTTTTGGCAGCAATATCCCTCCAACGTTTGATAAGTAGGGACTGTGGCATTTTCTTGTTGTTCGACGTAAGTCAACGCCTTTTGAAGAGCTTCTAATCCCTCAGAATGTGATATTTTGGCAGAGATATATGTCTCATCGCCATTCTTACAACCAGTTTTTATTAATTCTGTATCAGTTAATTCTTCTACCAATTCATCACCATTAATCCACTCAACAACATCGGCTTGGGTAACATTTTCACGTCTCACTATTTTTATGAGCTCATGTAAATGTTCGTTGTTATTCTCATAGTCTGCACAAGGTTCCATTTCTTGCTTGCTGCAACCATTATCAACTTGATCTAAAATTTGCTCAAATAAGAAACATCTGTGATTGCGTTTTAAATTTTCTAAAACTCCTTGATCCATTGGCTGAATTAGTGACGTTACATTAGGAGGCAAAAACAGCACTCGTATTTCTCCACTTTTAAGTTGCTCCTCACTTGGGTGGCTCTGAGCATTATGTAATAGCAAAATACATTTTCTCGGATATCAGCGTTCATTCAAATATCGTTCTGTCTTGCGAACAAAATGATTGTAAAACGAGTCCTTAATTAGAGCGGCATCCATCCAAGCATTTTTTTTTTATTTTTATACCACACTGGAAGAGCGTTGGGACCGATGTGTTTAAATGCTCTTGGTTTAGCTAATTTAACGATTAACAACAAAGGCAGTTTGTGTGTACCGGAAGCATTGCTACAAGCAAGGATAGTCACACGTTCTTTATTGCGTTAGTAACCAGGAGCTCCAGATTCTTGTTTTGAAGCTAAACTTTTCGACGGCGACATCTTATAGTTTATGCCCGTTTCGTCGAAGTTGCAAATTTGTTCTGGATTTGAACCATACTGCTTCATTATTCTATAAAATGTTCTCCAAATTTTAATGCAGCGGACTTATCCTTGTCGTTGTGTCGTTTCTTCCATCTATGCAGCCAACTATCACTGGCTGTAAAGTTGCTTTAGAATTGATCCGGAAGTTGGTATTATACGTTCTCGATTCTGTGTAAACCACAGATATCAAGCATAAATTTTTAAAATGATCATTTATTTTTTTATCATATAGAAATGATGTTTTCAATTTATTATAGTTAACTTGCATGATATCTTTTTTAACTTTAGGAGATCTTTGTAAATTGGATTAATTCTATTAATAAAGGTCTGCTACTACTAAAAAAGGATAAAAAACTTCTTTCTGCCTATAGTACCTATTCTGTAGGATTCTCCCCCTGAAGCTTGCTTACAAGGAATATCAAGTACTCCACCACATATATGTGTCATCTAAACGCAGTGTGTATCTCAGTTATTGAATGTCAATTGAATGAACTGGCAATAACTGACTGAACATAGTCTACCAAAGCATACTGCAGGTCCAGACAGCGCTGAGTGTCAGTACACGCACCGGGAACACCTCCACTCTTGGCACTAAACCCTAAAATGAGCTGTCATGCTTGACGTTCCATGAAATCTACTCCTCGTTTGTCCTCTTAATTATGCACATGCGCACCTTAGGCTCTCTCAGATCTAACAAACCTGCCTTTTGATTTGGCTCTCGCGAATGGTCTCTCCATATCATCCCAATGTGTCACGGTACCCAAATATTACACACAAGATCTCTATAGCCTGGCACCTGCGATACTGTAGCTCCTGAGAGTCACTGACAACCTTGCACCAAAGTCCTCTTTAGTCAGCAATCTGTAGACCAGACCTACCTACTTCTCTTGCGTATCATCAAACCTCCAGATTTTCATTTCAAACGATATCGAGTATTACCAGAATTCTTGATAAGAGTAGAACGTAATAGTAGCCTAGTGCTTGATTTTCGAGCAGCATTTTCTAATTTATAAAGGGTGCAAAAGCAATATCAGCTTTTAGTAAAAAACTACCCTTCCGCTACTAGACGGAATCCTAAAAAATTTTATACGGTATTTTTGTTGCTGTAGCCTGCTCTTGAAATTCTACCAAGTTCCGTTGGTGGAACGGAAATAACAAGTATCATAAAATGTGTAGAAATTAAAAACATCAACCTATACTTTCAAGTCTTTCGCGATTGCAATGCGAACTATTGGTCCTGGAAGTATCTTCATTCCTTTAACAACTGGCCAAAAATATTTTACATTCGCTCCGGATAAAGAGCTTTTAGGTTTGTGAGCTCATTCCCTATGGAGGGAAGTTAACAATTTTCGAGATGTAATTGACTAATTATTTGAAAAGTACACAATACGCCGAATAACAATATGAAAAAGGAAAATGTTAGTGTTTCCAGACAAAATCTCAAAGAATTGTAAGGAGTATTATTATTGTAAGTCATTGTTTCTTCAATTGTTAATAAAGCGAGCTCAATATTATACTCTGTTTGAGCACAACAGAGAATGCTGTTTGTAGGAGTCGCCATCTCTAAAAAAGCTTTTTCTGGGAGCAAAAAACAATTTTTGGGGTATATTTAGAAACATTTTTAAACAATTTTTGATACAATTTTTGGCCTAGCAACATTTAGATTCTTAATATGGGTCCTTTTTGAAAAAAAATTATACAATAAGACTGAATCAGAATATTTTTTTAAAATGGATGCGTTGTCAAACTGCACATTTAGTTCCTTTTGACTAAATCTCCAATAATCTCTAATACTAGTGTTTAATTATATACATTACTGGTTTGCACCTTAAAATTTCTGTGACTGTATCTCTGTGATAATTGTTGCCATATCTGGCAAATACGTCCTCCAAAATCATATACTCCAGTTAATAAAGACGTCAATATTATAATCTTTAGGTACATGAATTATGTATCAGCAAAAGCACATACATTTCATTTTTCTCTATCAATACTATATCATTTACTAAAATATTAATCTAGTTTATATCGTCTGTTAGACCCCTTAGCGGAGAGCTAATGCAGATTTCAATAAAAACATTTCCCATTGGATACTACGAATTTAGTTTCCATTATATCTGCACAAAATTTTCCAACAAATGGTCCATAAATAATATTGTGCTTTAACTGAGTGAGTAATTCCTGTAATCGAATTAAAATAATATATTTAAATGCTGCTTTACGTCAATACACACTTTGATGTTACAATTATTTTTCAGTAGGACAGCTAACATAAATATGCATTAGATAATTTACAGCATTATTGTGAAAGTCCAATGTTGTAAATCTAGTAATCTGTGCAGCTGTCTAATGTATCTCAAACACTTCAAAAGTCAATCAAAAACCCACAAATGATAGCATACGAATGGAGCTGAAGTAAACGTGACCATACTACACATTCATGTGTTGTATAATAGATGATAATAGCTAGATTGATAGTCGCAGTTTGAATAGGACTGAGAATACAGTGGGCATCAAAAATAGCTACAAATGTGCCACTTCGTCCTAAGGTGGACTCAAGAAATCTTTTCAAGATTTCAAATGTAAGGTTAGGGTCATTAATTGTCCAGGGGTCCTACACTTTCTATCATGTGTTGGAAACACATCCTTGCCCAACTACAAGGGCCAAATTTGTCTAGACGCTGCCTTACGTGCTGTCAATTTCTCAGGCAAGATTTCACCCTTCCAAAAAGTCCAATTTATGTCGTGTGACGTGATTGATGTTTCAACTGACAAGATTCAATGCATGGATCTATCTTTTTCTAAATGAAGTTGATATTATCACGTAACATTGTTACGAGATACATGTCACGTGCATAAGGAGACCTGCAACCAACGAGAACGTACGTGGCGTAAGAAAAGATTGGATACAGTCGGCATTCTTTAAAGTTCAGTTTCCACTTTAAACGCAGCCAAAAAAAAAAAGAAAATTGGAGTTTTTAACTATGTATGTTCAACTGCATAATAACTACTTATTGTACATACGATTAGGATACTATTTGAACACAAAAAGAAATATATCACAGACATTTTCGGAATATGTTTTGAGACTTATAGTACATAAAAAAACACTTCACAAATACTATATATATATAGTATATAGTATATATATAGTACATATATATATATATATATATAGTTTTACCACTGTAGCATCCATTCCAAACCACCAGTTGTTGAATAGCGTGTTTTGTCCTCCACTTCATTCAAAACGCGTCTTGGTAACCTCCATCAACTCCCACAAGGTTGTAATCGGGTACATCTATGAGGCATTTGTTGACACGTTTTTCTTCAGAAAACGGACTAACATTATTACATGCAAATCTTCCAGTAACTCTTTGCTTCTTAGGAGACTTCACCTTCAAGTATACATCTGAGCTACCCACTGAATCTGTGCACATATCTTCATCGCTATAGTAAACATCTTGTTGTTTAGTTCTGGCATGTTGTGAATGGTTTGCTATGTTTACTGGATTTTTGTTGATTCGCACATTTGTCTTCGGAGATGTGCACTTTTCCGTGTCTTCTGTTGGGACAGCTTTATTCTTACATTCTTGGACATCACTGTAATCGCTGTCTCTATGATTACTAACTTCCGCGTTCTGTTCCATTGTGTATATGAGTAATGGTATCTCAATCAGCTTGTTTTTATATAAAAAAATCCCAATCTATGTGAAATTTTGACGATCATCGGTTTATGTACACATAACTTGAGATAAAGATTCCCCTTTGTATGATGCAATTATTTGATGGTTTGTGGATATGATAATAGTCATCTTTATTTTTATGGTACATTTGTAAATGTTTCAAGTAATTCTAAAGTCAATGAATTGGCAATGGTACTTTACCGACTGCAAAGCAGTGCGGAGGATGTGACGCGACATTGTCTTGTCACTGAATAAACTTATATTCAGATATCGTAGATGAACCAACTTTGTAGTTCGTGCTGATTTCTGACCTACTCGCGCTTATGCCCCGATATAACACGGTGTTTAAGATTGAGAAAAAATAAAATCCAATCACCTATCCCGAGATCTGCCTCTTTTTCCAAGGGCTAGTATGACTCTGGGACGATAATCTGCGTCCAGAACTATTGAAGTATCTGTCACGCTCAGGTGTTGAATATTCGACAGAAGTGTTCATAACCATACTTTACACAGAAATGTTAAGCGAAAAATGATCATTACCATACTTTTTATGAAAATGTGTACTTTGATTTTAGACTTTGTTTAGAATGATAGATTGACAGAAACAGATACCGCAATCTGTCCAAGAAGCTGTATCATTCTTTTAGATCCAAATGAGCATTTTCGTGACGAATGAAATGGCTGACAGATAAATTTGTGCATCCACTGAATCCTAAATATAAACACCCACAGGTTGAAAATTGAGGATGGGTTTCATTTTTTTGGTTCATGAGATACGAAATGTTACATTTTCTTTTTTCTATTGCATATAATTTCAGCCACCTTCATGTGCATAGATTCTACCATCTACATTTAATAACTCCTGCAGTATTAATAAAATCGATAGGTACACAAACTGATGAAAGACCAGGAGACGGACTGATGAACAAATGTGACAACCTCGAATGATACTACCTGCTGTAATACGAGTATATATTTTTGTTAAGGCGGTGACAGTGAATCTCAAACTTCTACTAACGCAAATGAAATGTGAGTCTTCCTAATCTACGAAAAACTGCTCAAAACGTCTACCTCCAGAAAGAATGCAAGTCTCTGATCTTCTTACTGAAGATAATCTTATTTAAGGCATTGTATTGGCACATATGTACTTCCGAGAAGTTTGAATGAAATCTATTGCTTAGTTCCTGGTTCCTGAGCTGATTCATACAAGGTTTACATACTGGGTTCTTATGAAAAACGTGGTATGTTGTCGCATTATTTTAATTGTCATCAGAAACTGTATAGTAAAATTTAAAAACTGATCACGCAATACTTGAGGGGCACTAAAGCGTTAACTAAAAATTTGGAAATGGTCTACTATCGCAGTTATGAAATATTTGGCCCGGAAGTTGATAAACCTGCGGTTTTCGTACTCTAACTTTAGAATACTAGCGAGAAAATAACTATAAAACTCAAAACTACTAAACAACTACTTTTAAAAATTACAAAACTTAAGAACAATTTATCAGATCTGCTTCTGCTAGCATTTATTTGCGTTTGTTAATTCTCGTCAATCAAAATATTCTTATTAAGATCTACTGCAACATACTAATGCTCAGTAATACTTTGACACATCACACTCGAGATCACTCGAGACCACTTCAATTACAAAGATACAACACTCATAAAGGTGGATCAGGCTGTGTGGCTTTATTTTCATTTCTAACAGGATCGTTGGACCCAAATCCACAAAATGTTTTATTAAGGTTGCTTTAAAGAATTTGTATACCAAGCTGTGCTGGCCACAGTAACAGAATTTGTTCCAATATTGAAACCACCTCGACCATTTGAGCCGTTATTTTTTGTAGGTTAAAAAATGTTTTATGACAAAATGTGGGTCATGCAAAGGGTCAACTAATATATCAAATCTAATGTCGCTCAACATCAATCCTGTCCATTTTTTTGTATCCAAACCATACACTGTTATTTTCTGATATATACGAAAACTGACCCTCATCCAATATTACTGCAATAAAACGAAAAAAAGCAAAGGGCGAACAACAAACATATTATTAAAAAAATGTCAATATTTGGCCAACTTTTTCGACAAATTGGCACAGTGATCGTACTTGATCCGCTCACTCTACAGGGTCTCAAAGTCAGACGTGAGATGAGGTTTTAATAAAAATTCAAATTTTGGCATGACTTTTAGGTGAGTTTTTCGCCACCTCAAGGGAAAATAATGCTGGACGACATAAAATGCTTAATTCTGAGTGTTTTGAAATAAACCTGGTTCAAAAAAGTTTATATTTGTAGTAAATTGCACAGGATTAACTGAATATAAGCCAGTTATACAAATAACAAAAATTGAATGCTAAAAACCTCGAAAACTTTGAGACTTTTAATAAAACAAAATTTTACCACCCAGTAGGCCATGACCTATCTACAGTTGCAGAATTATCCTTCAATTTCGGGACACCCTGTATATTGACTATTTTCAAGAATTTTGAAATGAAAAACGATAAGGGTTCGTCTTATCTCTCTTCAAATCTAGCCTACGCCTGCAACTATAAACACATTTTTGAACTACGAAATCCCTTTTAAAGGTAACACGCGTCCGCCATTGTTTTAACGGCGAATAACCGCTATTTATGGATCTAATATCAGAACAATAAAATTTCGTAATATTTGCACTTGTTATCATCTACCACGTCTGTTGCCGTAAACTTTTATCATTCGCTCTAATTCGAGAGAAAAGGAAGTGCTGAAGCGATGGGTAACTCGCAGAAAAAGAGCTATAACTTGGACCAGGACGTCCCGAGAGCGCCAGAGGGAGTTCAGAAAAGGGGCGATGCCTTTAGGAATGAGCCTATCGAGATCAAAGGGGAAGAAGAAGATGGGAAACTGAGAAACATCGTTGACGCACATTTGAGAGCCAACGCGGGAGTTGAAGGCGATTCATCGGGAGAAAAAGGTGACCAGTGATGGTGTAAAACAACGGACAGTCTGACTGCTTATGGTTGTGCTTTATCTGAAGTTTTGCTTCCTCAGTGCTATTAACTTTATATAGTTGTACTAAGTGTACTCGAGGCCATGGTACGTGTTTTATTTGTAATAGTTTATATTCTAGAACGGCGAACATAAACAACTTTTGCGATATCCGAAATATACATAACTCTGTAGGTACTAATTGTTTTGGGTCAAACTTGAGAACAACAACAAAATATCTCACGTACATTAATGCAAATTGGATGAATCAATTGAATAAGAACGTATGTAAACACTCAAATACATATATAACTGTATCAAGTTAACTGGGATTTCATTTAGAATCTACATTTTTTTTCATGCAGTCAATGTTAAATATCGTAAAGCACAAAAGGGACCGTAAAAAGATGTTTTCGTAACGGTGTGACTCTTATGAAAGGTGTTGTTCCATTCAAAGAAGTCTTAAACATTGCTTTTATGATTCCAAAAAATATCGAAATCGTCTTAGCTAAAAACATAGTGGAGCGCCGAGGATAGCGACGAGCAAACAGCGCGACATCGCGCCGTTTTAGCTTCGCGTCGTGAACGTATAGTAAAGCGACATAATAAAACGCGACTATCCAGGTTTAGTGCGAGTACGACCGAAGTATTTTCTAATTATGTTAAGGGCATCTAAAGTTATGGATAGTAATACATCTAAACTATGGTATTGGCAATTAATGCAAGACGGTATACTTCACCTTCCTGAGGATAGTCCCTCTTCCTAATACAGAAATTCAAATGTTTTTCGTTTTCGACCACAATGAGGCATATCCTTTGAGACATCTATTCAAACCCTATAGCCGTCAACAACTAAATCAAGAAATAGAATATATTTAACATGCGACTTTCACGTAGATTAGTAGAACAGGCCTTTGGAATTAAGAATGCCAAATGACAGCTCCAGAATTTGCGGACTTAATTGTTAAGTGCATTGAAGGAATTGATTTTTAGTTGATAAATGATTTTCAGGAAAACAACATGTTAGAAATAGGAACAAACCGCGCTAGAAACAGTCCGGCAAACAATGCAGTTGATATTAGGGAAATGTTTAAGAATTATCTGTGTAATAACATAATAAGAATTATCGGTGTAATAACATAATTCAAGTTCTTACTTATCTTAAAGGCTCTAACATTTTCGAACATAAGAATAGGAGTGACTATTTAAATAAATTGAATATACTATCTACTACTAAAATAATTTTGCTTTTTCTAAATATCTGTATGTTATGAAATTGTTTAGTTTTTTAATAGTAATGTGTTTGTAGCAGTCATGCCAAATAAATATTAAGGAAACAAACAAAGCGTGTACAATTTATTTCTTTTGACACCTCATCCCACAATTTATTCTAAATATACCGATTATGGTGGTTTTCACTCACAAACACAAAATCGATCAACTTTTGACAACCCATCTTTAAAATTGCAGAGCGACAAAGTAGCGAAAACAAAATATTTTGAGTCGATCTCTCCGCTCGATAAACTCACTCGTACTCGTCTCGTTACTATGTACGCTTGCATTTGATTTTACGCGATTGATTTCGGTGCTCCACTATGTCTTCAGCCTTAAGCGACCTACACACGTAAGGATTTATCGTACTGCTTATTGAACCGTAGGTAGTATCAAAAATTGTCCTGCTTGCAGTACTGCAATTTTCCCTATACACAGTGCAATACATCGTGCTGCAGCAGATCATCAAATTGTGGCATACTACTATTCGTCATTGTTCGTCAGAGCGGTCCGGTAGACCTTTGCTCTTAGTTAAAAGTCTCGTCGGTCTGTTAGTCTGTCAGGTCTGGCTACCCAGATACCAAACATGTTTAAGGGGAAAAGGGAATGAAGGAAAGGAAGGAAGGAAGAAACAGAGCATAGAAAAGAAGTAAATCATTTGAAATAGCTTAGGCATTATTGCTTTGACTACTCGAATAATTTTGTAACTCCAAAAAATAATTTTGTTCGGTTTTGTATACTGAAATAATTTTGGCTGGTCTGAATTCACAATTTAAATTGAGGCATGAACTGTAAGTGTATTGTAGTTATAGTAAATAGAACAGTGTTGCTCATAATAATCTAGTTGTTAACGAAAACAATTGTGGTTATGTCTTCACGAATTTCAAAAAGAAAAACTTTTATAGTTGCGATTTTATTAATTTGAGAAGATGATGAGAAACCAGCGAAAAAAAGAAAATGGTGTAAACAGTGGTTGTTGGATAGAGACAAATATTCCCATATGAGGTTATGTAAAGAACTTGAAAAAAAATAGCCAATTGACTTTAAAAACCATTTACGGATGGATTCTGATACATATATCTCGTTGCTGGCTTAAATAAAAATCGTAACTGCCGTAGTCGCGGCCCTACACACGTTCCAACTTGCGTTCAAACCTTAGTTCAAAAACGGCCGTTGATGAGATATTTTATGGAAGCTCTATACTGCGAACAATTCAAATACTGTGTACTGCGAAGCATCCAATTTGCCTACGCACGTCACGATTTATCGTTACTGTAGCAGTTTGGACTAATGTTGTACTGCATGCAGTACGAAAAGTCGTTGTGTGTGTGGGGCGTTTTAGAATCAACTCCTTGCTTAATTGAACGTAGCGCATCCTCGAAAAGTAATGCTCGGTTTTTCTATGCTTTCTATTCGCTAGATTTTTCACCAAAGGTACCTGCAGAAACAGGACGTTTTGAATGATTTTTAAGTTTATACGAGTATATATTTCACTTTTCGTTGCTTTCTTTTGAATGGCTGAGGACTTTTCTGTAAGCGCGTATTCTTATCGATAGATCATTTTCATTAGCACCTAGCATCACTATAATAATTAATTTTGGTATGCATATCTCCTGAACCACTACATAGTCGACATATTATGATGAAGTTCTTAATAAGATGCTATTTTTGTTATCCCCTTGCACAGTACTCTAAGAGCAATTTCTTTTATGGAAGATGTTGTTAGACTCGGAACTAGTCCACAAATAGCAACAACTTCTAAGTCATCAAAAATCCTACATTACTTTCATTTGGACTCCGAGTTTCCGTATAATTTTTTGGTAGGTCAAAATTGTAGTTAGTTTATCATGTTTCTGATCATTTTGGGACATATTACGAATTGCGTATGTCAATTATGATATGAAGGTAGTCAAAAAAGCATATTATGGTTATACGTAGAGGAACTTGGTTTCTACATAGAGAAGTGGAAACATACACTCACCCAAAGAACGTTAAATACTGACTACAATGTCCATTCTTAATTCGCTACATCTCCATACCGTTCACTGGAACTCCTCCTCTTCCAGCCCGTCAGGACCAATGTTTGTCCGCTCTGGAACATCCAAAGCGGTCCTTTTCGGTCTTATTCCGTCAGGATCGTTTTTCTCCTCACTAGCGTTTCCAGAGTCACCGTCGTTGGGCTTTTTCTCGCTTTTAGAATCCATAGCTTCGGTATCTGATGCGTATACGTTTACCGTGGGATACTGTCTGAGTGATAACGATTTGAAGATTTCTTGTTTTTATATGGGCATCGTATTGACATTTTTATTACCACCAGATCTTCATTGTTTTCCGCTAAAGCATTCGCGAGTTCATTCCATGTTTATTTTCACGGTACTCTTGGGTTATGTGGGGATAATGATTTACTCGTAGTACAGTCATCGGGAGACTTGTCAAGAAAAAAGTGCAGAACATTCTGTTCAGGTTGTGGCCTTGCCAGCAAAGTAGTTTTGATTCTGTACATGTTACATGCTCTTGTGAACCATCGAATTCCATCACAATATGCTGGAGGTATATGAAAGAATGGAATCCAGTAGATTGAATCCAATACTTACCACGCAGTGAATTCAAAATTTTAGGCACATGCAAACTCTAATTAAACAAAAATGGCTACGCCTCAAACGGAACAGGAGGCTAAAAAAACGATGTTTTGCATTTTGAAACAGTTTAACATCTCTATTTTGCTGACTCGAAAAATATCAGGTAACCAATTTTGAAGACATTATAGAATGCTTGGTCTTTTGCTTACGACTTTTCCTGTCACTAGAATTTTCAAACCTCTAATCCTTTCTTATCCTTCATATGCTAGTAAAACCTTTGATAAAATATTCACAATCCATATCTTCCGGGTTATAGAGGGGTCCAGGATTTCAGGACCGACGGAAATGAGAAGCACGGTTTTTCATCATGTGCGTCTGATTTAGCTTCCAAATTTTAAAATTGTTACAATCACATTACTTCCTCAGCAATTAACGGGGAAAACAAAATGTCCTAAATATAGCTACTCAAGTAATCGCGAGTCCATTAATATTCAGAAATAAAGTAACAAAGGTGGTCCAATATTTCATTTAAATATAAAATAACGATGCCCAAACTATTATATCGATATTTGTAGTATAACAAACATTACGTTGGCATCTCTATCTACATAAATCTCTTGGTAGTCTCATGTGTGTGTCAGAGTGGCTACTTCACTGAAGAATAAACCCTCCTAATCCACTTGGACCTTGCTTATTGAGGGACAACGAACCGAGATTCTTCCGCGGGGTCCTACTTGAGCGGCACGTTAATAGTTTTCAAGACAAATGGAATGAAGTATTGAACTTTGTAGGTGAGGTTAGTAATAACATTAACATCTCAATGCTTTTCTTCCATTTTCGGTTACGTGTAATTGCACTAAATTCATTGAAAAGTCTACATTTCTATGTCATGTAGTATTTAATAGTAATTTATAATTTCATTTAACCTACTTCTCCTTCATAAACAATTTGTTTTATATCTGTTGTGTTGTGATGAATCACGTCAATGTGAGAAAATGCTTTTGGTGTAAACCGTCTGTCTTAATTTAAAAAAAGGTGGAGTTAAGGGTATAGGGTATCCTATATTATCGCAAGAAAAAAGTTAGTTGAAGCATCAGCATTTTTTAATAACTTCGTGTTTTTATTCATTGTTCTATGAAATGTGCTTTAAAATGAAAAATGTTAAGTCCTCTAACGAACAAACGCAGTACTTTTGTACAGAAGCAAATCATGTCCAATCGAGTTATTTTGAGTCTAATAATACGTAGTACTTCTATACCCACGGAATATTGGGACACCCCTTATAAGCTTGGCTCCTAACCTATTCAAATTCATTGGTAGTTATCAATAAGCAGCAATATAACGGGATCTTTAAAGTTGACATACCCCAAAGTTGATGTAAGGAATATTCGCGAATTAGCATGATTCTTATTGCTTTTGCATCCGGATTCACGAAATTCGAGCAAGTAATATTAGGTACTTTAATAAAACAAGAAATATCAATAATTTCTTTTTTGATAGACAAGCATATACGATACAAACAAAAACGTTATTCTTCACATGTATTTTTGCATGGTGTTATAAACAATTAGGTATTTCTCATTAGAAAAAAGTTTTGTTCGTTTTGTTCGTAACGTAAGACAGTCCAAACAGAAATGAGACTTTCAAATCAGTTCATGTTTGGCTCATTTTAAAGTCCAAAAAGAACAGCTGAGCTAACCTTGTTCAGGACAACCTAAAAAATCACATTTTTTAATTTCTCATCGGGCTATACTTAGGACTGAACATTTTTGTAGTTTACTAACATGGATCGACGCATTATTATTATAAGTATAAATTAGTAATCATACAGTTTTAATTCGGTGGATTGTGCACGTAAGCAACACAAACTTAAACGCTTCAAAAGAGAAAATAAGATCACGCTCAGTTGGGGTTAGTTAGTGAGTTTCGGTAAAAAGAACGTGTAAAAAACTGAGCAAGCTGAGGTGAGACTGTGCTTAAAACGAATGTAGCAATGATTATGGAGAAACTTCAAATAAACATATCCTTTTTTACTTTTGTCGTCTTTGATTATAAATGTCTAATAAATAAAAATGCAAATAAAAGCAATTATTTCCTCAAACTTATGTGGAAATGGAATGTTTTTTTTCACAAACTAGGTACTTACTTGATTTTTTTTTTATTCTTTTGAAGAGGAATCTAATAATATAGAATGATATGAACTAGAGAAAAAGAAACTTCAAAAATAAAAGCTTCATAGTTTTGTCTCCCTCAAGAATATTTTGATGTGGTGAATAACGCATTCGCGAATATTTGCAGTAGATATTCCCATTCGCAAAAGCCTAAAAGTTGACATTTTACATCCACGAAGACTACAGCTATGAGGTTAAATTGCGTAAAGGTGCATGTCATCGTATGTAGCAAATTCTGTCGCCAAGGTTGGTGTAGCTTTCCGTATTCTAGTCGCGTAGAACATCGTGCAGAGTGCCTACGCATTGGAAATTGTCAACATATGCTTTGTAGGTTTATTACTTCGTGGTTCATTAATGTTATCCAATGTTTGTGCTTGCAACTCGTGCAACCTGTCAAAATCACAGTTGTTTCCAGTTATGATGGCAGCAACAGAGAAAGAGAGAAATGCCACCTGCGCAGAACCTGAACTTCTTTTTCACCTGCAGTGTACACACGATAGAGGAATCCTATGCGCAGCACATGAAATTGATTTGCTACGCAATGTACCACCTCACTTCTTCGTCAACATTTTTGACTTCACCTCCATCATCGGTCAGCACACTTTAAAATCATAGCCGGCTTACATAGCTTTGACTAAGTACCTTTATTATTATTATGGACATTGTGTAAGTGCGTCCGAATAACGGCATGGTTTATTGATAGTAAAAGTCATAATTACACGTAAGTGTATGATCATAAAGCGGCTTAATCATAATGGTATTGATTTTATTAGAATTCTTGTTCTTCCTGTCCATCAACTCCCACATTCACTCTTTGAGGTACATCCACGACTGCCCTTTTTGTTCTCGATTTTTGAGCACTACCTGTGCCATCTTGCGCTTTTTCTTCTTCTTTGGTCTCCTGGTCCTCAGGAACATTATCGTTGTCGTTTCTTGCATTATCGCTCATGGCGTCAGCCTCTGTGCTGAAATCCAGTGAAAAATATTATTAGCGGTCTGGAATCCCATGTACCTACTACGAAATGCAGATCATATATTTCAACCTACGCTAACTCGTCAGACAACGTTGATCATTCCAAAATGGCCAAATAGGATCTGTTCATTTTCCGTCTAGACCTAAAACCGTACTGATGTTTGCTAAACAGAATAAAACAACGTTGTACATATATGGTTGGCTATAGAGATTGAAAGCAAACAGATCGCATTAAACCTGTTTAGTTTATGCAACTTTTGGACAGCACGTCGAAGCTGGTAAGCATACAGGGAACACCAAATTTTTCGGCTTGAGCTCAATATGTACGAGAGAGAAGCGCGAGAGGTGTGTATCAACACATGTGAAAAAGAAATAGAAGCCGGCTGAAGAGCGAAGGTCATCACCACATTGCCTAGCGGCGGTGACGTAGGAGGTCGTGCAATCTGCCGCGTGGCCAATATGTTACACCAGAAAATGTTCGCACAGGCCTCTACAATAGGTTAGGTTAGTGTCAAACCCAAGGAGGAGGTCGGTTCGAACATTTAATTCAATATTTGGTTTTCATTTTGATTAGAATTATTTATTTCAATTTTGATGCGAAAATGCATTTATTTTAGAATTATCTTTGATATTGTTACATTTTGCGAGAGCACTGCGATTTTAAAATGTAACAAATAACGTTACGCAATAAAAATTAACACTGCCTGCGTGTACACACGTGAAATCCATTTCGAAGCAGGACGACAATCGCCCACGAGCGCTAGATGAGTTCTGACCAAAATTACTCGAACATGATCATTGAGGTGGAAACCTTGCCTTGGAATGTACAAGATGCGGTGTTGTCAAATGAACCAATGATGCAATGCTGCCGAATTTGTGATGACCAAATTTGTCTGACGGCTTGAGTTCAGTGGGTACGAGAGAGACGCGTGTATACACACATGTCAGAAAGAAATAGAAGCCAACTGTACGAGTATAGCGAAGCTTATCACCGCGTTGAAAGCAACGCTGATGCGGCAATCTCCATCGGTGGAGATCAAAGATAATTCTAAAAGAAATTAAAATATTTCAAGACAATGTAAAATTAAACGTTCAAACAGAGCTCCTTCTTGGGCTTGACAGTAACCTAACCCATTATAGAAGCATGTGCAAACATTTTCTGGTGTAACATATTGGCAACGCGGCAGATTGCATGACCTTCTGAGTCACCGTTGCTAGACAATGTGATGATGACCTTTGCTCTTCAGCCGGCTTCTATATCTTTCTAACATGTTGATACTCACTTCTCGCGTTTCTCTCTCGTGCACATTGAAGTCAAGCCATCAGACAAATTTGATTTCGCTATATACAGTGTTTCTCTTATTGACGTTCTTATATTCCAGGACATGATTTCTCGAATAATTTTATGGAGAAAAAACGTATGTATGGCGTTGAGCTTTAAAAAAAGTCCTGATTATTATTTGTGTGAGTAGTTGAATACAATGCATAAATGCCTAGTTAGTGAAATCTTCTCAAATTTAGTTATGCTATTGTATAATAAAGTGGATGCATTATACCCTATTCCACGAGTACCCATCATGCTTTGACGTCTACTGAGGTGAACAGCTGATCAGCAAGTGACATTTTTGTGTTAGTCTGCGACGTTGGCAATAATGAATTGGGTGTAAATCTAGTCAAACGTGTTTCTAGCGTTTTTTTTTTTTGTAAGCTAATGAACTTTTCAAAATAAAAGAGCTGTTAGCAAGTACAAAATGAAACTGAGCGTACAAAAAAAAAAACAAAACAAAATACGGCTCTGACTACCTGACATTGAGGGATCCGTCAGAATTATGTGTTCTCTGCCGATATGGGGAATTTTTAGATAGTTCTAGATAATCAGCTGATATTCTACCGTGATGGATACTCGTGAAATAGGGTATAGATTATCTTCAGTTATAAAATTTTTGTACACCCTGGTTGCACTTGAACTCTTACTGTTTACCTTAAGCATCCCCGTAGTAACATACTTTCGCCATTATAATCAACATATAGTTTTAATTATATCAAAATTATTATATTACGCTTTTTGAAGTTATATGACCTGTACATCACGAAAACCATTTCACTCATTTCCGTCGATCCGTCTATCTGCTGGTGTCTGCCTCTCTGTCCTTCCGTCCGTCTGTCTGTCCGCTAATCATTGAAACCGCGATAACTAGGAAAGTACTTTTCGGAATTGGATGAAAATTTTGCACAAGGTTATTAGTGTGCCAGGACGAAAGAGCTTTGTACATTTCGAAAATCGGTGCAGTGATGGTGAATGAAAATGCAGAAAGCCAAAAAAATACTTGTAGGGTAAGAGGATGGGGGATGGGGGGCTGTAGAGGAGTGAGGGAGAGTATATCGGGTTTTTTTGATGTAACTTTATCAATACGCTTACAACCCCGGTAACTCTACACACAGCAAAATATTTTCAGCAGATCGCACCTTTGCTGCGCCACGGTGTTGTAAATGTTGCATCTTTGGTAGTGGATCCGAGAGGCTTGTAAAAGCAGGTACGAAACAGCGCGGTGACGCAATATGCACATACGAGGTGGCCGCGATATTATCTATATATTCGAGCATTAATCTTCGAGTGCAAATAAAGAGGTTACTTGATTTCTTGAGGTAATGTCATACGAGTATGGTATAGTATATATACTATATAAATACGTATCAAGAGCTGTTATAATCAGTTAATAAACATTGTTGCTAAACAGTTTTAGACCAGAGCTTCAAAGAAATGAGTCTACCGTCTTCGGACATACTTGTTGCTGCAATCCGAGAAAATTTCTGTGTATCAAGTTTAAGTAAAAAGTAGAAAAAGGACATAGAATTGAACATTGCTCACCTTTTCGCGGAATGTACTGGGATGGTAGACGTTTGAGTGTAACTGAACTTTATTACTATATAGTTAATCTAATGAGATAAGATAAGATTGGCACTCCTTCAATGCCATACACATATACTGAAATATTAATTTTTCTATGCACCTTTTCCGTGCAGTTAATATAGGATTGGTTGTAGGCTTAGTTGTTAAACACGGGTCTACCGATGTACCGTTGAATACAAATATAATTTATACATATTGTTAATCTAGAACGCTATCACTAAGTTAATTCAATGATCCTTATATCAGTCAAATATTAATATGAAATCAACAAAGTCAAGTTTAGTTTCATAGATAAAGAAGTTACCAAGATAAAAATGTTAAAACAGGCGAAATACCACGGTATCAGCTGCATAGGATGCCCTTTTGCCAAAAAATGGGTGCTCTTCATCATGACACTCTAGTGCTGTAAAACATGGCAAAGATTACCAAGATCTATTTCTGGTTGTCCAAAATGGCTTGAGAATGCTGTATGTTTTGAAGAACCAGAATACCTGAAAAATGCACATCCGTCAGTTATGAAATTTCATGGTCCTGAAGTTGCGACCATGGTTAGGCGCAACTACACCTAACTACCGATAAATTATTTTGGGGCCAAATGAGAAAAATTAGTAGAGCTGGACGTTTAGACATTTGCCTATATGTATAGCCATTTAGATCTCATCACGAGTTCTAGAAAATTCCACGACGCATGTGAGTATAAAAGTTTAGTAGACTGCTTGTTATTTAAACATTTTGGTATCCTAATAACAGTGTATCAATTTTTTTCACTCTGAAGCAGCTGTGAAGGCAGAACCTAATTGCCGAAGTATGACTGATATGCATTAGTTAATAACTTTTGAACTGCTAAAGGTTAGAACTGGCAATGTTGTAACCCTATTGATCAAATAGTAGTAGCATCAGAACCAGTGAGTTTTTGATATACAGGGATGAACTGGCCCAAGTGTACATTAGAATAGCGCGCCACAATAAACGCCTGCAGTTTTCAATAGTAAAGGAAATTTTCTTAACAGCAGCCTGCAATATATATTCCTCTCTTAATTAGCTTCAACTTTGCTAATATAGTACCTGTAATTTGCATACATTCACAATCTAGATTTAACAGCGAGTTACCCTTCATATGCCAAAACCAATTCCGAACTTTGCAATTCAATCGAGAGTAGCAATCAAAGGCGATATCCGTTGTACCAAATCACATAATTTCCAAGCTATTAGGCAAATACACGTAGTTTCATTTATCTAACTGAAAAGACTACGACTAATTCGACTATTGTTCTTACAACATTTGTCCTTGACGGAAACACGAGTTACAGTTACTGGGCCAACATTCAGAAAAGTGGAGTACTTTACGCAACTCCGAGTTATTCGCTAATTACAAATTAGTTAAGAAACAATAATGATCACTTTTCATTTAATCTACGGTCATTTGGTAGATTTACAGACAATTATATCAATTTAAAATAGATTTTGTGTTGCAGCACCCAAAGTGCATGCATATTGACATGCCATAGATTCTGAAATAATTAAAAGCTTATTATGATTATGTAATGAACTTCTCACTTTGTTGAAAACAATGCTGTGTCTAAGTGTTGGTGACTTTCAATTGGTCGAGTATCTTCCATTTTAGTCTCCATACACATGTAATTTAAAAAAATCGAAATATAATGTATTTTGGATGTTTTAGAAGAATCCATAGCGTTTCCGAAGATCTGTGTTTCTCTGTTTGTCCTGATCACCTTACAGATTTTATTTTTTTAATCTGGGGTACAATGTATCATGAGTCGTCACTGTTAACGATGTTAACAAATGGAAGTTTGGTAATCCGTACACACAATGGCACTCAAATGATATGACGCTAACATTCTATTATTGATACTATCGCGCTTGCAAAAATTTTCAATCTGGGTCTGGGCTCAACCCACGGATTACTAACTTTCAGCCATTCTGGAAATATGTTACCGGACACAATATGGAATATGCATGTATTTCAAATATCTATTGTTTATTTTTATTCACAGTCTATATTGCTACAAAAAGCCATCTTCACCTTTACTTTATACGTATACTTATGCGCTAGTAAATTACGAAATATTGAAACGCAACGTTATTGGCGATATTCAATCCTATCCTTTGTAGCTGTCATTGATTGTCAAACTATCAGTTTGACCAGCTCCAAAGTGTATTGGTTTCATCCTGATGACATTTTTAGGGCTACAAATCTTGTCCATGAAGTGAGAAATGCACTGCACAAACTCCGCAACGAGCAATGGAGCGACTTTCTGGCGGGAATGCTTGATTCAAGTATTCCTCTCTGGAGGGTCGCAAAGTCACTCAGAAACGGAAAGCTAGAACAACTCCCACACATTCACGGTCCTGAAGGCATAGCCTTCAGAACGGAAGATAAGGTCGAGGTTTTCGCTGATGCCATGGAAAACAGTTCTCTCCCAACTATGATCTCGATAATGACCTCGACGAGGAACAGCACATCGTACGATCCGTCAGGAGATATTTTAGGGCCAACGGCGTTATCGGAGGCACTGAATCCTCTTCAGATGACTCTTCTTCAGAAGATTCGTCTGAGGCTCCACATAGCACATTAGCGGAACCCTCCGAGTTTCCACATTGCACACCCGCGGAGCTCCTAAGTCATATTAAAGACCTCAAGGTGCGTAAAGCACCTGGGAAGGATCAAATCACCAACAAGGCGATGAAGCTGCTGTCGCCGAAAGCCCTGACATACTTGGTGACAATAATCAATGCGACGCTCAAAATCCAGTACTTCCCTGCTGAGTGGAAGACTGCTGAGGTCATCATGATTCCAAAGAAGGTGGGTTCGATATTTCCTCAGGATTACCGTCCCATAAGTCTGCTGTCAGCTCCTTCTAAGCTCGCCGAAAAGGTGATTTATCGTCACCTTGAGAATTTTTCGTCAAATCACCATGTGATTCCTGACGTCCAATTCGGTTTTCGGTCCGAGCATAGCACCGAGCTACAGACAGTCAGGCTGGTGGAGCATGTAACCAGAGGGTTCGCCCTCAGCATGAGTACTGGCATCTTGCTTTTGGATGTCTCTAAAGCCTTTGACAAGGTGTGGCACGCGGGCCTCTTCTATAAACTAATCCAAAAGGGTTTTCCTTTTTGGCTCCTAAAATTACTGAAATCCTTTCTTGAAGGAAGGAAGTTTCGGATCAAAATTAACAATGTTTTGTCAACAACACGGCCAGTACGGGCCGGTGTTCCTCAGGGTTCGGTCCTAGGACCAATTCTTTATTCGCTTTTCATCCATGATGTCCCTTCCCCCAGCAACTGCGAGGTCTACCTCTATGCTGATGACACTGCACTTGTCGCCCAGTCGTGTACTGGTGATCTGGTTCACGATGGGTTGCATAATGTGGTGGACGAAGTTCTAGAGTGGGCGGAACGGTGGCTGATAAAAATTAATCATTCGAAAACGCAGGCTATTTATTGTACCAAAAAACGTCGCGGCCACCCAGCAGAGGTTTCTGTAGACGGAAATCGTGTGCCATGGACAAATTCTGCCAAATATCTCGGTGTCACCCTTGATAAAGGCATGATCTGGCAGAAACATACAGCATCCATAAAAACAAAATTCCAAATTGCGTTTCGGCAACTATATCCTTTGTTATGTAGATCCTCCAAATTGAGTTTGATAAACAAAGTTCGACTATATAAAATGATTATTAGACCAGCCATTACTTATGCATGTGCGGCTTGGTGTTTTCTTGCCAAGACACACATGCAAAGTCTTCAAGTACTGCAAAGCAGAACTTTGCGGACAATTTGCAACGCTCCATGGTATGTCTCAAATGAAACACTACACAGAGACCTTGACATTCCTTACTTGAGGGATTATGTCACGCTTCAGGCGCAGCGTCGTTATAGTCAAGCGGAATCGCACAGCAACCCTCTGTTGCGTGACTCAGTGGACTACACAGTGGAGCAAGTTCGTAAACATTCAAGGCCACAGCTCGCACTGTAATCAAAAGTTAGCGTGAATCTTTAGTAAACTCAAAATTACACTCTAACAAAACCGAATCAAAAAAAAAAAATTGTTTTGTTCACCTCAAAATTAATCCGTGTATCAAGTCAAAAAGCCTAGGTGTTTCCTCTTAAACTAAGCATATCTGTTTTTCTTTGCTCTTCTCCTTTTTTCTTCTCTTTCCCTTTCTCTTTTTCCTTGACTTTGTCTGGTTTCTGGACAACCAGGACTGACAGATTCGACTAGCGTACATCAGACAGTGACTAAGCGGCAAAGGTCCTACGGACCGCCCAGACAAACAAATGACGAATAGTAGTAGTGTATTATTGGTTGTTGCAAAATTCGTCACTGAGCTAACTAACTACAATGTGCGTTACGCCTCTTTTTTGGTATAGATGTAAACATCGTTTGACAGTGGATATGCTGCCTCTGGCAGGAGTAGTTCGCTGATAATGTCCGAAAGTAAATAAAACGAAAATAGAACCTTTCAAAGCTCGACAGCAAACCATGACAGCAAATTAACCAAACATAAAATAAAATGACACCACTACGAAGCATCCGAAAAATGTGGCATTTATGCTAAATCAACGTCATTGAATATCTGATTGAAAAAAATCCATTAATTAAATGTGAACGAAGTGAGTATGTGTTTCAACCGAAAATACAAAAAGATATGCATATTCTCTATTTGGGTTGCCATGTTCCAAGATGTAAATAAACTATGGTGAAAATGTAGATACCATAAAAGTTTAACGTCAATACGTTCTTGTCACCATATTCATATGTCCAAAATTGTTTGCTGGAGCGTATGAAGAAACAAACAAATATACGAAAAATATTCCAAATATTAGATTTTTGTATATTTTATTTGTTATTTTTTAGTGTAGCTGAAAAATAAATAAATAAGTAATTTTGGATAACTTTCGGATCATTTCAGGACGAATGCAAATATAATATTTGTCATACTTTTATTCGACTACAGCACTTTTAATAACTCTTGTTGTCTTCGTAATTAATACGTTCATGTGAGAGAAAACCCTGGGAAAAGTAGAATATAACAATATAGTATGTTCCATACTATAAGGCAACACATTATTTATCAATTGCTTAGTTTCAAATTTACCCTTTCTGCAAAGTTATATACCGACAGTTTCTTTAAATAGATGAGGAAAAACAGGGCAAAATACAGGGTGTCCGCAAAGTTGGGGTTTTCCTTTTCAGAAACAACTACCCTTGAAATAATGGGTAATGTGTATTGAAACGAGGGCGACCAAGTAAAAAAAATAAAGGAAAAAGTGCTCACTCTCCAGTTGACGAGAAGGGCTAAGTACGTCTCTGCCCGAAATCATACCGCTCCAACAGAAAATGAAATCAGCTGATGCGCTACCGAGCAGACGGAGGCGGTGGTGCAGACCACGAACAGAGGTAACAAATATGACGGCGTTGCCGCGTTTTCAGTTTTTAGGTAAACGTACTTTGTGTAGCCAAGCATCGGTGCAGGCTTTGAGAATGGAGTCCCTCCCCCGAACGAAAGCACCAGCTTGTTCAATTCTGAGACGAAGTTCGTCCGATCCACCTATTCGGAAATAATTCATTCATGAACTCACGCACTTCGCGTCTAAAATGGGACGGTGCACCATCGTGCAGAAACCACATTACCACATCTTCTAACAAGGAAGGCAAAATGTGGCGTAAAAAGTCTAGGTATTGCATCCCGTCCTATCGATTTGGGAGAATAAATGGTCCAATGAGCATACCGTTTACCATGCCAGCCCAAACATTCACCGAAAATGTTTGTTGAAAATGTGCCCGACGGACAGCGTGCGGATTTTCTACTCACCAAACATGAGTGTTGCAAAAGTTATTCACCCCATTACGCGTGAACGTAGATTCGTCTGTCACCAATATGCACTTCAAAAAGTCCGGATTATTGTCATGTTGATGCAATAACCACTCACAAAACCGTACTCTTGCTGTAAAATCGTCAGGTTGAAGGGCTTGTACACGTTGGACGTGAAATGGATACAGCCCCTCTTCACGCAGCGTTTGCCACACTTTAGTTTTTGATACTTGCACTTCTCTAGCCACGTCTCTAGTGCTTGTTGAGGGATTCTCGTCTACGCGATTACCTCTACACGCGTGACCGTAACCGTCGGTTGAAGGTTGCATACTAACCTGACACACTGACCCCGACCCAGTTCTGTCGTCGGGTTGAGCCAGTGACCTTGTACCACTCGGTGATGTCGTGGGTCGCGGCTACAGGACGGTATTCAGATTTTTTTTTTTGATGTTGCAGAGCCCTTTATCTCGGTTCCCTTAAGACATTGGTGTATATGGTACTAAGAAAAATTGCTTATGTTTTCAAGATCTACACGTCGTGTAAAGGAAAACCCCAACTTTGCGGACACCCTGTATATGTTCCCTACTGTAAAGTTCTCCAGTCGCTTTTTGCACTTGCCTGTTGTCAGGCATTACTCATTATCTATCAATTTTCTAGTTTTAAAATTTCCTTTCCTGCATGTCTCCAAGAAATGCATTAAAAGCTATACATATACTGACAGCCTCTTCAAACATGTCAACAGACTCTCAAAATAGTGGATAAATACATTTTAATGTTGTTGGGTATAGCGAACATGAATGCAAGGCAGATATCAAGTGACTTTTAATTTTAAAGTATTATAGTCCTTGAAAAAATCCTCGTTCTTTTCATGCGTAAACAAAAATTAAAAGAAAGTATCAAATCAGTCTACTCTGCGCCACACAAGACGGTAATGACTACCTTTTACTTTTCTGTTACACGACGTTAGACTCGAATTAGAACGGTTGTCTCATCGATATCTGTCATTAAAATAAAAAATAGGCCGCACCGCTCAGGCAGGCCTTCCGAATTAAGTATTATACGAGTACAAGGAGGATTTCAGCTTAATTGAAAAGAGCTCGTCAATTACATAAGTGAAAGATCATGGAAATCACGGCAAATTCTGATCGCTTGGAGATTAGTCTGGAGCACAGAAAGTAGACTGATTTATAATATGTAACTGGACAATGATTAGCTTCTTGTTACTGTTTTGTTACACAATTCCTAATTGCATCGACTATACAGCATATAATATTGATTCGGAAAAATAAGGGGTAATAGTTGGTCAGTCGTAATAGATGATATGTAATCAAAAAATTATGTCGAGTAGGTTGACTGTGCACTTCCATCAGGTCACGAAGGCACAAGTTAGCCTCTCTGAGTTACGAACATATATAACAAAGAAATTGAACGGATCAAGCCAGTCGAACATGCCTTTACAATTAATCCATAAAAATGTTCGTTGCTTTACCCACGATGCGCTGGCAGTTAGGCAGCGTTCATCGGAGAGACCGTAGCGCAGCGCAGAAGTAGCCAAGGACCAGAAACGTATATTTCTCTTATTATTCTAGTTTTGAGGGAAAATGTCTAGGATTTGAAATATGTCTATTAGCTGCCTAAAATTACCAAACAACCCTCAACCACCCATTTTAACCCCTGCAAAATGTTTTCCGAAAACGGTTGGGACCTTCTGACACGTCACAAAAACAAGGTATTTCATCAAAGTGGAAGTTACTGCCAGTTTACTCTCCAGCTCAACCACGGATATCGGTCTAACTCTCTGAACGTCTGCAAGTGGAGTGTTGTCCCGCTTACCCGGTTTTTAGACCCAGTGTAGTTTGAACGAAGAACATATTTATGTTCATGACTATTGAAACATTTAATGTCCAAATGAGTTTTCGTATAAGAAAATTATTATAATTTTCTCTGTAACAGATTACAGCGAAACCATACAGCCTCCAGTAGTAGCTAGGAATTGTTCTGAATAAAAATTCTCCTGAATACTTAATTTAATCACAACTAGATATGCATATTTCGTGCTATTATGTATGTTACCGCAATCTTGAATATAATTACCGTAAAAATCGTTACTTCTCTGAACAACTAAGAAAGCTCAACGCGGTCATTTATAAAGTGAAATGTTTTTGAATTACTACTTATTGCACGCATTCCAAACATGGAATACGTGAAGTAAGACCTTATACATATTTGATTATTTGTACCAGAACAGCATCCAAGGTAAAGCGAAATACTACTGATATTATTACACATTGGACCATTTTTGTGGTAACTTTGACTTTTCCATCCAACGATACTGTTGTCGCTATGACTTTCATAGTCAAGAAAAGAACCACATACAACCTGTTTTATAGCGAAGAAGATTTGAAACGATTCAGAAAGATTTGTCGTTTAAGAATTAATTGTTTTGGCTTATGAATCACGAGATTCTTTCAACGTGTATAGTTTCGGACACAGATGTGTGTTGGTCGTCTTCAAAGTTGGGACTTTCCTTTAAACATCGTTCATATCAGGCAACAGAAAGCAAGTTCTCTTGGAAACACATACAGCAAAGTTTTAAAATAACCAAGATATTAGGTTCCGAAAAACGCCAGATGGGCTGAAAAACTGCTGGCACCCTCCTGTAGCAATAACGAAGTTGTCGATTTGATATTAGCCTACGATGAGTATCGTCAAGATTCTAGTAATACTTAATCTTTCAGATATTTCCATCCCGAGCTGGAAAGGATTGTTTACATTTTACATCGTACAAAGGCCATCCAAGTGGACACAGTAGATCTAGATATCCCAAATATTGCAAATTTGGAAATACGTCAACAAACTTGTGTTTCTAAATCAGGCAACGACAAAATCAACAGTATTTATGAGCAAAATAAGTAGTACGTGAAATTAGTTATCAAATAAATAGTGACTACCTACTTTATTATTTTTTCATGTTTTCGCTGATGTTTTACCGCATTTCAAACCGGGTTGCTTTTGAAAAAGAAAGCCCGAACTTTTAGCGAGTATACAAATTGCGTTTAATTGTGTGGTTGAGGAAAATTTTTACATGTCCCATGTTGAGTCTCCTTATTGCACTGATCGCCGAATGAAGTCACAGATACAGAACTTAAAAACTTAGTTCTTTCTCTCTTTCTTTTCCGCTACAACTTGTCTGATTTCTGAGCCACCAGACCTGACAGACTGACGACAGACACTGCCATTAGAATGACTATGACCTAAAGGTTGAGGTTCGCCGTACCTCCTTGGGAAGCAACGACGTGCAGTATTCGTTATTGTACCTTGCAAGAAGTCACCAAGGTAGGCGAAACATGAGTGAATCTTTGAACACTGCATCTGTAGTTCCATTTGACAGCCAGTGAAATATGGAGAGTTATCAATAAGATGTCGATAGGATAAGTTAGAGATGTGCATTGCTGTTTGATTATTGATTTCGATATGAGAGATGTGTGTGATGCCCATGGTCTGGATAGGGTTCGATGGGCGTCCACAGAAATTTTATCATATCAGCTGGATATAGCTTTTTGTAAAAGTGTACCTGCCCCATAAGCTTTTTGAATAGCGGGGGTAGCAAATTTGCTCCTTGGGGTGCCAAATCCTAAAATTTTCCAAAATTGCCCCCAAAATCATTCTAAATATGTAAACTTAGCCGTGGCACAATCTCGAAGTAGGCGGCACACGCAGTATTAGTTTTGCAAAAAACAATCTGATATACGGAATCGCAACTTGAAGCTACATACGTGCAACGTGCTGAGCTGCGTGCGTAAATTGTTATTGAATGTACTTTGTACTGCTCTGTAACAATTTTAGCGTCCGTAATCGTTTGACGTACCTACCTGTTCCATGCGATCGGAGAACAAAGTAATACCTCTGGAACGTCAAAAGTGTGCTTTTCTTCCCATGCTCAAAACCTTGGGAATAAGAATGTTGTTACTGGTCATTCCCATATTTCATTGCTTGCTTACTTTATTTAGTTATCCTCCAAATTGGCAGAATATATATTTTTCAGGATAAATGGGCTGACTTATCAATAGCATTTCTTATAATGGATACAATGGTCGCAGAAGACTACGTTTGACACTAATCGGCTGTTATCAAGTTTCATCACATGAGCCTGTAATAATTTATACGTTCTAAAAATGAAGTTTCATAGTATTCCAGGAGTAAAATTTGATCTATATTCCATTACTGTGTATGGTATTACATTACCAAGTGAATCATATACGCATCCCAGGGACCTGATTCTAAATGAAACCACATTGAAATTATCATGGCGAAGTTGAAATTATGAGGGCGGAACATAATATGTGTGACGTCATACTTTGGCGACTACTTACAATAAATTTCATCAGTCGCCAGAGGGTCGAAATTATGTTTGCGACTGGCCTAATTTGTAGATGACGTTTCGTTGTTAAATGGTTGTGTCTCTGTCTTGTTATCGTTAAATAGTCGCTTAACATAATGGCCTACGCTTTCGTCCATAACCGAATAGTTCGTGAACTACAAGAAGAGGATGATCGTCGGAGCCCTCGTGTGTGCCGGAGTATGTTAAGGGACAACCAAAATCCAATAGAGAGCATTAGTACGTATGGAGCTGAGGTATGGGAAATCAGAGATAAAGACAAAAATCGACTGTTATCTCTTGAAATGGATTACTGGAGACGTAGCACGGGGATTTCAGGATTAGACCATATTCGGAACGAGAAGATAAGAAGGAATCTGGGAGTAGAAGAGAATATTATGGACACTATCGAGCTCAAGAGACTTATATGGTATGGTCACTGACAACGTATGAACAACAATAGATGGCCGCAAAAGATATGGAATTGGATCCCTGCGGAGAAGAGGAAACGCTGCCGGCCACCCAGGAGATGGAAGGCTGATTTCAGAGAAGCCATGAGGACAAGAAATCTTGAGGAGCGTGACTGGGAGGATCGAAAGCTGTGGCGATTGAGAAGCGGCTAGCTATATATATATACAGGTTTATACTACAGAATATTGAAGCTGAATTGGGCAGTTGTTGTTGAAATCACGCAACTGATAGATATGTTCAAATGCTAATGTTGAAAAGCGTATACATCATTTTTGTTAACGTGACCAGTGAATCTTTGGCCTAAACCTTGCGAGGTGATCTAGTTTAACGTCCAACGACCCCATCACATTTTGTACCTATGCTCAGCTCCAGCTCAATGGAAATTAGAAATGTAGTTTAACTTTAAGGCATTGAAATCTGACAGTTTTCATAAGGGTACCAGCATCCGTATTTCGCAAATCAAAAACTGACGTATGGATTTTTTTATGACATTATGTAGGTTCTTTTTTTACTTATGTAGGTTTTCCTTTAAACTGTCACTTTTGACCTAGCTAAGATTCTCTTCGTGCTGACTTGTAGTTGGCGCGGAATGACCGACATGATATTTTGACATTATACAGGTTTCCTACGTAATAACTCTGCAAGAAGGTGACCAACTTCCTCAGCATATCAGAAAAATTATAAACCCATCACCCATCACTACCTGAAACAAGAACTAGATAATCACGTGAAATACCTCAATTCGTATGAAATTTATAACTTTACTTCCATAATTTAAATCCTAATGTAATAATATCGAGTATAGTTCTAAATAATCGTAAAAATCGAGTTTTAAATAAAAGTAAAAACCGCATACGGTATTTATAACGTTTCATTGACAATAAAAATTATTTATTACCCAGCAAGATTTTTTATAGACGCGGATAAATGGAGTTGTAAAAATAGAGGTAATGGTCATAAATCAGGCAATTGAAGGTACACGTGCAACCCACTTACAGTGTAGAAAGGGAAATGTGTAGTGTAAGGGACTGCACTGTTTTGTGATAAATGATCTGTCACTTTGAACCATACCATTCTTTTCTACTCAAAATTATCTTGGGGTTAGATTAAGTTTAGTTTTTTACGAGTGGTTCATCACGTTTCTCCACTGCGACTCACCGGTGTATTTTGGCTCACAACTATTTATATTTCTCCAAGTAGCTCCGACCTCCCAAGAAATTCGATCAACTCAGTATCTAGAGAAATATTTCAGGTCTTCTATTTGGAGCAAAACTTCTCCAAGTGTTCGTCTCTCTTCGTGCATAGCCTGCTGCAATACAGTGTACAGTCCCATTAAAGCTTTAAGGCTGTTCCTATTTTGCTTCAGCATTAGGGCTATTATCTTGTTTCATAAAATTGGTTGGACGCCTTAGCATGGATCAATCTCTTCTAGTGCTGCTTGATCTTATGGTCCATGTCCGGAGATTATTTGTTTAGCTATATTGTAACGCTATCCCGATCGCATGGCTCAGGCCTGTCGGACCTGTACGGGTATTACCTATCTTGAAAAGTGACGTAATATCGTTTTTTGACATTATTTATATTTTTAGACAAGATGTTAACTTAGTACTAGCTCATGGACACTTTTGTAAACTCGTTTTGTATTTGTACGTGTTGACTAAACGTCTTGAGGTTTCAGTGATCAATGTTTGGCTATGATGTGATGTAAAATAATAATATAATAATATGAGTTGATAATTCCATTGGATTCTTGTCTCAAATACACTTACTTGAAATCTAGAAATTAGTTGCGCATCCACTCTTTCTTATCCATTCTGGAAATAACATATGCAAATTTACTGAATTTCAAAAATGAGAAAGATGAGAAATAATTATATTCACTGTACACTGTCGAATTACAAGTCATATATATATATATATATATATATATATATATATATATATATATATATATATATATATATGTATATACATGCTAACAGTAATTACACACAACGCGGGTGCGATCGTGATTTTCCGTAATTCTCCTCAAAACTTTTGAAAACACAAAAAAACGTACTTGATAACTATGAACATAACCTGTCTTGCGAAAGGACAAGATATAAATAACCCGTCGGTCACAGCCAATAGATATACTTTATTGACAGTATAATCAGTAATGATTTTCTCACACAGCAAATATCACTGATTTTGGACACTTGCAGACCAATACACACGATCATCCAGATGCGATCTTGCTATTCAACCAAATAACCAACTTTCTTCTCAGAGACTCAGAGATGAAAACTATAGACCGCTCGGCTTCACAAAACATATGCAACCAGCATGCGTGTATACGTGTATTTGAGCCATTCCTCTATAGACGGACGCACACAACGATCCTAGTGAGCAAACGTGGAATGACTGCACCCTAAAAACTACCTAGTCTGCAAGATGACATCTTATAGGTTTTTTTGACGTTTTATATGTTTTTTTTACATAATACCCGTGCCGGTATCCATATGAAACGAGCATTATTTACTTTCTCTAAGCGACCAGAGGGCTTCTTTATCCCAGTTCCGATGTAGAGGAGAAGTGGACAAGTGCTTTAATCGCGGCATGACTGAAAGTCATGTGTTTCAATTGTTGTTATGAGACCATTATAGTACACACTTCTATAGTATAAACCACTGCCTGAAAAATCGATGTCTAGCTTCCTAGACTGATTTCTCACTCTTTATCTTCGGTATGAAGATACTAGCTCGCACACATGGTGTCGGTTCGCCTTGAAGCATTGTCTTAAGGCAAGAAATGGCCCAAAATAAAATCACGGTAATTACAATTAGATTCAATCTGATTAGAAAATTGGGTGCTTTGCAGAGAGCTTCATCATAAATAAAAAATGGGTATAGGCTATCTTTTAGAAATCTGGTTTTGAATTGAAGGATACCCCATTTCTGCTGAGTTATAGTAAACGTAAAGATCATGCTACGAATTGATCAACAATCAAATCGTATAATTTAGTTGAAGTTGTGTATAAAAGAAGTCGAGACAAAGTTGTTTCCCTCTACCTAATCTCAGTAATACAATACGATGCACAGGATCGAGCTAACAAGAAATCAGAAAACATCGCTCAACTCACATCGAATAGCAATATAGTCGATAGCAGAAATAACGGAGAATGAGTGTTTGACTACTTTGTCCTGTATTCATTATTTTCAGGACAAATGAGGCTCAGTGTTACAAAAGAACATTGTGGTATTTTATGATGATTGTTAACTATATTTTCTTTTCTAGAGTGCATTTACTCTTGAGTTGTAATACGTCGTACAACGGCACCAAGACCTTTAATTTTTATTGCGATCGAATAAAGGTGATTATCGTCCTTGTGTACATTTTCATAGAAGGTTGATTTCGGCGGTATTTGCGCCAAAAAGTTCTAGGTAAAAAATCAGATCCCTCGGCAGTACGTTATTGGCAAGTTTTGTAGCTCTCAAACTTCTATTTGCCTAATAAAACAGCACACCAACTCCTTATCTATTACCAAACAACTGCTCTTATGAAGCGAATAAGAGAAAAATGAAGTTGATGCTGGGGTTCAAGAGACATCACATTGAAATTCTATTTATGCCATCTTGTAGAGGAGAATAAATAACAATGACAACACGCAATTTATTTTGAAATTCCGCTTCAAATAAAGCCAGGAAAAATAAAGGTGATTCTGGGATAAATCTGGTATGCGAAACAAATGACTATCGTATAATTTCAAGGCCTACCTAGGAAATTCTACTTTTTTGAAATTACTACTCGTAAGGTTTGGCAATGTCATTTTTGGAATGGAAAAGGTGGCAATGCTAATGTGCACTTTATTTTGAAAACCCACTACAAATAAATTCAAGAGAAAGAAACTACCAATGGTGAGGGTCGAATTTGAAACACCCTGTATATATAATAGCAGAAATAGATTATATATATATATATATATGTATGTCTCCTTTTCAATAATGGTGTACGTTATACCTACTAGTTTCTTTTGCTCGTGTATTGGACAAACGTATTTGAAGTTCCCACATTACTTAAATCATCGACGAACCGTAAGAATCTGGCAACATGTCTTGATTTTAGTTCTGGATACTGATAGAACATGTCCATACATTTGCTAAATTATGTCGACGCGAAACTTTACCTCTTAATTTTGAAGAAATTGCTTTACCACTTCCCGTTTATAGAAAAAAAATGAAAGTACTTATTTGATAACTAAATAAAATTTCCGATATGCCACACACGTTCAATACAATTTAACTGTTTCCAAGTGAAGCGACAGGTGTCCACCCATACGCTATCGAGACTACCGTGATTGAGATTCAATAAAAAGCTTGGCTACTATACTTTATAATGTCAATTACCATCTCAAATTGAGTTTACTGCAGTATTACTTTCTATTTGATGGCTACAGTGGCACTGCCGGATATTTTCCGTAGCCCATAAATATTTTAATTGACACATAAAAATCCTATTGTTCACGAACAATTGACTAAAGATATGTTTATATAATGGTGGATATCGGCATTCTATATATAATAATATTAAGCCTGTAGCGGAAGCCGCTTCTAATTTCAGAGAGGACAATGGAGTATTTTCAATTCTGACAAAACATCAAAAATTAGCATCCAAACAAAATATTCTCTTACCAGTTTTTTTCGATAACCGAGAAATGGCAGACATGAAACTTTGCCCTCCAAAGTTTCAACGTAAAGCCTTCCGCTAAGGCTATGAAATCTAGAGTGTGTAATCCTCTGCAATGAATGATAGGCTTCTCTAAAATGTGAGGCAAATCAAATTACCTTTATTCTCTGGCGTTGGCAGTTTAACTTAAATATATGGTATGCAGAGGTAGGCGGCATATCTGACGATCTCCACCTACCAAGTTGATCTCGTACATAAGATGAAAGAACATCTTCCAAACCATTGGTAGGTGAAGAACATCAGATTTTTCGCCCACATGCGCACAGTATTTTTAATTTTTCAAACGATCATACCCACTTATTTGCTTTCCGTTCATTTGTCTCTATGACTACTAGACCTACACCGCACTGATGAGATGCTAATGAGTACCAAACAGCGCTGTTTGCAGTTGGGCTTGGTTACAGAAATAAAAGGCAAACATGTCCAAATGAAATTTGTCGCCACGTTTCATCGCTATTCGAACTAAAAATCAAGTGCCCATTTTAAATATATTTTTACTACACACTACAACATTTTCGATAAATTAAAGTTGAACAATCTATTAGGAATGGGTAGCCAAAATATTGTTGGCTTAATAAATGTTTTTCAGTGTAGACGTTTTGGTTGACTTTTACTCCATATTCCTCAGAATTTTCCCTTGAGCCTTATATAGATACGCAAGATCAGAAGATATTTATGTAAAATCGCATGTAGTGTGACATAAAGTTAGTATTATACAAGGTGTTCATTCACTTTCCACCACCGATTTATCAAAAACCACTGATTAAAAGAAAAAACGCCGAGATACGTTAAAAGATTTGTCAAGGGGGACAACTTTTTAACCAAAAACTACTTCACTCCCTTTCAACCTCGGCCACCCAGGGCCATTTTAAATGAGAAGAGGTTTCGAGTAATAGCTTGTTTGAAAGATCTTTCAAGGTCCTTTAGTTTGACGTGTGATTTTTTTAAAATCAGTCGATTCGTTTTCAAGAAAATTAGAAAAATCTTTAATTATCTTAATTTGTTCAGATAGAAAACAAAAGCACACGAAAATAGGTATTCAAAATGTTTCCCTTTATGGTTTGCCAAATTTATAATTCGTTTATAATTTAAAACGGAAACTACCAACATAAACAGCAATTGGGAAGATTAGACTTGGCAACAACCAAATAACAACCCGATTTTTTTTCCGCATTATTCTCATCAACACAGATATTCTGGGCAAACTGTATTAATTTATTGTTATGCCTGTTTAGTTGTTTGTTGCTAAGAGAAAGAAAGAATTTAATTTGCTGTCGGTTACCTTTGTGATAATCTTGGGATAGTGAACATTAATTTATTGATTCAGATTTTATTTCCAAAATGGTTTACACACTAACCGAAAGAGTGAAAATGATTCTAATTTATGGTGCCCAAAATCAATATGATCGGGAAACTGCCGTCACGTTTAACGCCGTACATCCGGGAAAGATAATTCCGCATAGGTGCGTTTTGGACCTTGTTACTAAATACTCACACTGGAACTGTTGCAAATAAAAAACGTGATCATCTGAGACTTTTGCATGAAGCCGCTCACGTTTTGGGTCATTTTGCAATAAATCCTAATACTTCATTACGCAAAATTGTTACTGCGATTGGTACTTCATTAGGCTCTGTACACAGAGTTAATAAACTCCATAAATTTCATCCATTCAGAATATCACAAGAGTTAACCAAATATGATTTTGATAGGCGAGTTGAGTTGAGATTTATTTGGATATCTTGGAAAATACCAGCAATCCGCTTATCGCTGAAACCATTGAAGACCAAATCGAAGAGAATGGAAACCCTATACTTGATGAGGCTGAAATATATTTCCAACAAGACGATGCTCCTCCTCACTATTTTCTACCGGTTCGGCAATGGCTAGATGACGAGTTTTCACATAAATGGATAGGGCGAAGGAGGCCTAGATCTCCTGATTTGACACCTTAGACTTTTTTTTATGGGGCCATTTGATATATGTCTGTATAAGAAATTCTGTTCGTTGTATATATGTACAATAACATACCAGTTTCTTTGATATCCTTCACTGATAGAGGTAAGAAAAACGTTCATATCGACTGTCTATATGTTACAGGAATTCGTAAAACTTTTTAATCACTTTCAAGCTGCTGGCAAGAGCATTTTCATTTTCGAGTATCAGCAGTTGCTTTTCTCTTTAGAAATTCTGTAAACTTTCTCACTATTTTTGAAGGTACTACTGATAAGTTGAACTCATTACACACACACACACTTATTTTGAGCGTGTTCGTCAATCAGATGTACTTTCAAGCAACATAGGGGTCTTGGAGCAGGCATATTTTTAAATGCACCCCGAGTTTGATTATTGATCATCAGGTGGCCGTATTGAGTGATTTTTGTATTGCATAATAATAGATATTTCAGGATCCAAAATCCAACAGATTCGTGTGATTTTGCGGTTTATTTCAGATTCAAAAACGACGATGTTTGAATTCAGACTTCGGTAACTGCATTCTGAACTGTACTCGGAAGTACCTATGTATGTAATAAGAGGTTTTGTAATCGTAACGATGTCATGAAAAAGACGTTAATTTGAGGTATTGGCTTCAAGAATATGAAATCATTTTTAACTATAAATAATTTATTTCGCAATAAAACGTCAACTGTACAAAAATAATACTATACAAAATAACACATTTCACATTTAACAACAAACAACGGATATCTGTACAACAATATGTCTCGTGGCACTAACACTTACTCGTGCTTCTTATGGCTGACTTTGGCGATGAAACCGTGTTTCTTGTCGGCTACGTAGTCGACGATACGGATGGTCTTGTGGTCAGGTTCCAGAAGACTGTAGGTTCCCTTCACTTTGTGTCCGTCTCTCACCTCATGTTTGCTCTTGTAATCCTTGGTGTGGTGGTCGGCTACATGGTAGTCGTAGTGGTACTCAGGATGAGCCTGGAAATAAGTTCAATGTATTATCTTGCACAACGCCTCAAGTACTCTGCATTATATATTCTGATTTGAAGAAAGCGCAAACAAGGAAGATCACAACACCTAGAACCCATCTGGACCTCTTTCATTTCTTCCCCAGAGCTGGAGCTTCACTCAGAACAAATGATTTAAGAAGATGGCAATGCGATCATCCACAGTTTTCCTTATATTAGCCATAGGAGAACAACACATTCACAGTAGTGATTAACTGTCTCATTTTCCTGTTTACATCCCCTACACAGGTACACATCACTTAGTCTGATATGCAGATTGTTGCTTTGCTAGTAACTAGGTAATAGCACGGCATGGTTTATATTCTTACAGTCCTGCTAAAGGTATTAGTCGGTTTCGTGCACAAATCTCATTAATATTGCTGCATTTTTCGAACTCAAAAATCTACATTTCACCTTTTATTAAAATTACGTTATTTTGTCTGATATTGCAAAACCCAATACATGGTTTAATTAGTATTTCTCAATATGGTCGTTTTTGATACTCCTTAGATCTAGTTTGTTTTGCAATCATGTTTCACAATTCTTAGTCGACGCAAAATCAAGGATACATTTGGTATTTGCACGAAATATAGTATTTAGATTTATTTTTCTCATTCAGTTTTGATTTGAACTACGATACGATCAAACCTCTCCTCTCCTAACTTGGCTAGATGGTAGGCTTTTTATTATGTGGTACTCAACTGTTTCCTGAGATTAAATGGTGAGGTCGGTTATATATTTGCACAGTTTTGTATATCTACATTACCGGTTTAGAAAATCCCATCACCCAGTTGACATAAATTGCCTTTGATCTGATGAAAGGAGCAAGCTGACCACTGGTTAACTTTTGAATCGTTTATGCCAGTTTAGTAAAAACTCGCCTCCTACTGGGCCAATTTGCCCGAGTGCACGGTTCGATGCATTTGGGCATACATAATTAAATCACAACTTATCTTTGCTGCCCGCTACACCGCCGCAATGCCGCCGGCACAGTTCCAAGAAAGCTTACAGACGACAAGAGGTGAAGTCACTCACAGAAAGCTCTCATTGTTTGGTACAGAATTTTACGTAAAAAATCGCAAGCAGACTGTTGCGAGTGCAAAATTCGCACTGGGTACTATGCTACTCAGACAGTCCACACGCCATGAGCGCCACCTATGGAAAAATGGCGAAACAGCCAAAACTACTGCAAACTGCATTTCGCTAGCGTAATTGGTGAGTTACAGGATTGTATACAGGTTCACTGCTATTTAATCATTGATTCCGGGCTCGATAGCGTCAGCAAAGCAGATTCCATCTCTGCAGGAGGATAACAATCAAAGTACGTAGCACATAATGCTAGTGCAATCTACTGAAATTTTGCCAATCTGATATGATAGATCGCCACTTGACATGAGAGATTGCAATCTGACAGGACGCAGATACATACTAAGAATGTAGACTTCTCTCAAGAAGTGTTTTGATTTTCTTGGTATCCTTCATTGTTATGCTTAGAGTCTTTATGGAATTCATTAGCTACGAGTCAGGAATAGGCATTCTGACTGCAATTGTTGCCTCTGGCTTGACCAGTGAGTGAACCTACTATCAGTAGCTTGTATACTTTGGTTCCGATCACTGAGAGTGAAAGTAATTTATCTAATTGTAATGTAAACTAAAACATTTAGAAGAAGAAAAACGCGTTTACATGTTTAACAGCACCGGCACGTTATGGGTTTCGCAACAAGCTCTTTAAAATTTGAACGGCCGATTCTGCAAGCCACTTAGTCCGTTTTAATTGTATTAATTTTATAGTTGGCTGTTTTCCACATATTAAAATGGTGTCTCTCGTTCAAATTGTATAAGCAGCAAGTATTTCCTTTGTTCGTTCTTGACTGAATAAATGTGAGCTTGAATTCACTAACAGGAGACAATAATTCCAATATTCATTTACGCTTAGCGTGTAATTAAAATTTGAATATATGCCCGAAATTTCTACATGCTAAGGACACTGTTTTAACTGCGAGGTGGGAACGAAACAGACTTTTTGTTCATAATAAAATCCTTATAACATTTATGTGATATCTTATGCGGAAATTGGAAGATTCCTGTAGCCAATTTTCACCGGAAATGAATTTATAGAAATGTGTAAAAACCTGTCAGAATTATGAATTTTGAGGGGATATGGGAGAAACATATCTGAAAATATCGCGCTAGTCCCACGTAAAGTATCATGAATAATGACAAATAGAAGAGCTGGAGAAGAACGATCTATCTGTTTTTTGGTGGTACTGACAAATCAACAAATAACTGTTTTTCCAGAGGTTTTCTCATTAAAAATTATTTTGAAAACAGATAGTAATTTTCTAAGGTAGGCTCAAATTCTAGAACTAACTGCATGATCCATTATTTGGTATTGAGTTTACTTCCTAAGCTACGATCGCACTTGATATGCGACAGTGAGTATTATTGATGCATTAAGTCATTCAGTTCATTGAGGGCAGCGGGGCACTTAAAGCAAAATCAGTCTCCTTTTGAAAAAGACAGTCGTTAACATTATCGATTTTCAAGTGTCACCACTAGAACTATTGGTAGTACAGATAAGTGATACCTTAATCTTAACTTCGTGCTCGTGGTGCACATCTACAGGGGTGTCAAAGTGGGATCCTCCAAATCCGATGGAATGATGTTTGTGCTCTTCGTGCTTATGCTCTTCCTTTTTGTGATGGTGTTCCTCATGGTGGTGGTGATGGTGATGGTGCTCCTCCTCTCCATGACTCAAGCCAATGATCTCATGATCAAGAGGATGATGGTGTCCCAGGAGTCCGCCGGCTGAACCGCCACCAAACTGGGGGTACGCTGCCGCAAGAGCGATTACCGAACACAAAAGCTGAGGATGGATATAAAGCATAACGTAGACATAATATATAAATATGCAAAAAGGATATCAAATAAATTTGATGTGCAAAGTGAAAGGTTTTCTTTAGCTATGGTCTGTAACAAAGCTACCCATATGATGAAATGCATCAAGCACTACAGCGATGCAACGCATGAATAGTTAGTAATGGTTTTTCTTTGAGTATGCGTCAAGTTTGGAAATCCATTGACAGAAGGTACTAAACCCAATGGAGTTTTCGCCCGAAAGAAAGTAAGGAAGGTAATAGCGCACATTGCATCTCGTACCCAGTAAATTATGAACTTCCATTATAATTGAAGTATGTTCTCTTATATTTCCTCGTTATTGATATTTAATATGTATCCAAAGTAAAATTCGCAGTATGAGTATTTAAAATCAAGCTGTAAGTGCCCCTTCAAGGGTCCCCACTCCAATAGTCTGAAAATTTTGCAAAATGGCAATATTCACTATTAAATATTGACCTTTTCTAATTTCATAATGCTAGTAAAGTCTCGCGTCTTATGTTTTAAAAAAGCGCATGATGCGGGTTCTAGATGGGATTTAAAATGTCTTTTAGTGGCTGGAATATGTTGTGAATAAACCCTTATGTTGAAGCGAAAGAATAGTGAACCACTCTTTTTGGAGGTTATTTGTTAAAAGGACTTATGAAGAAAGATTGAATAGCCATTTTCAAGGGGTGTGACGCACAATATTTAGTGAACACACTTGTATGAATGGTGTCTATTATTTCTTGGTAGTTCAGTCATAAGACATGTTTTATCAAAAGGAAGTATTAACCCAGTATAGGGCTTCTCAATTGGAATTACGTGTCTTTAAAACGCTATGCCATTCATGAAATAAGTAAGAATATTGTGAGAAATTCATATACGGTATAGTTTGATAACTTTTGTTAGCGAAATATATGCTTTATGAACTGTACTTATGATCCAAAAGTTTCTTGAACAAAGATCGATGTTTTACAATGAATGGATCAGAATTTCACAAAATGAAGTTATTACAAAGAAAGTTACTTTAATTCTCGATGAATGGTAACTTTGGTATGTGAAATCTTCCAATTATGGATTTTCGAACAAGGTGGAATCTGAATTTACATAATCAAAATCCACCACAGCGACGAAAATATGCAAAAAATCTCAAGGGAATGTAAAAATGTGTCTGTAAATCGACGCTCTCAGATGACAAAAAATTTTTATTTTTACATTCTAATAGAAATGTGTTTTTGATTTCTTATTTACCTTTAAGGATACATCATTCTTATTGAAAATCCTGCATAATTTTAATATATCAATAAAAAAACAATTTTTTGTAAGTCTTGAGTTTAAGCTATAATCTTCAGTTGTCTTTAAATAGAAATTCTAAATTTTGGAAACCTATCAGTAGTATTTCGTATTCAGGTGTATTTGTGGTTTTCCAAAATGTATATACTTACGAAGAATGTCTTCATATTTACACTTGTTTGGTCTATCGAACAACTGACGAAAATACAAGCACCACCCAGCCAATTTATAGTAATTATTTGTGTGAAAGGACATTAACACCATATGAAAAATTATTAACACAAATGCATTTAATGAATAAAATTATCTATTTAACATATTGATATATCGGTTTCGCGTACTTTTTGTCTTCGAGTTCTATGAACTTGGTCCATATTTTAAACGAACGGGGCATTAGTTTAACAAGCAGCTATTAGTGATTTCTCAACAGTAATTGTTCAATATCTAATTGGGGTTTTTGTTTCAGAATGCACTTGATAACTACACTTTCCTGCCGTTCAGCGTACTGCTAGCCATTTTCTGGATATTCACTTACAAGAAAGTGCCAGAGACGAAGAACAAGACGTTCGAAGAAATCACTGCCTTATTTCGACATGGTAACGGAAGGTGAGCATAGCTTATTTTTATCAGTGATACGATCGATATATTGATGTTCTGATAATGTTCTATGGCATAGTAAGACATTGACCCCTTATGTGATTAGTGGTATGGAGATTTACTTTGCGAACTAACAAAAAATGCGAAGCAGTTTGTTTGAAATCTTGTGTAATGTTCGAGCTACCAAGGCGCCGTTTATGCTATTTTATTTCATGTCATTCAATTAATTTGTCATCGTAAGTCTACTACATCTTTTACAATAGGTAGTGATCCCTGACTCGGTTAGTAAGAGCTTTCGAAGACCATGTTTTTCGTTAATTTTTTTGTACACAGTTATGAATAGAAAAATAGATCAGGCAAATCGTTTATTCGGCTTTTATCGATAAATTAATGGTCATTTTGTATGTTATGTCAAAAAGACACAGCCTATAACTCCAGTGAAGCAATTCAATTATCGCATGGCACATACCAGGGTACTCGTACTCCCTCGCAGTCTATGAAATAATTCAATTGTTGTATGAGGCATTTCCTGATCGTGTGACCTTCAATGATTATAAAGGGTTGGCCCTTCCGTTGGTTTCTTTTTTAAATTGGTACTAAAACTACACTCTTCAATAATATGTAACACTCGATACTTTATTCAAAAGAATACACCTTCCGATTATTTATGAAAAACAATTTCAGTTAAATGGCTGCCGCGGCTGGCCTGGCAGTAGTCCATCCTCTTAACCCAATTTTGAAGCACATTTTCGATAGTTTGTCGGTCTATTCCATCAATAGCTCGACGGATATTTTCCTTAAGAGTATCAATTGTTTGAGAATCGTTAGTGTAGCAGCGGTCCTTAACAGTGCCCCATGGGAAGTTATCCATGGGCGTCAAATCACAGCTGGGGGCTGGCCAATGAACGTCTCCAAAACGGCTGATAAAGCGATGACGGAACTTGTGTGTAAAAGATCGATTGTTTTATGGCTGATGTGGCATCTTGCGCCATCCTGCTGGAATCAGATATTGTGCAAGACATGTGGATTTTCAGAACCCCAAATCCTACAGTCCTGTTGCTTAACATAACCTCCCAGATGGAAATGGGCTTCGTCCGACAAGATTATTTGGCGATCAAAATTAACCTCCGTTTCCAACTGATTTACAGCCCACACGGAGAAACGATATCGAAGCCGATGGTCATTTTGTTTCAACTCTTGAACAAGTTGCACCTTGTAAGTAAATAATCTCAGGTCTTATGCAATATTCTCCGCACAGAAGTGCGACTGATGCCCACTTGTTGTGCTCTGTGATTAGTGGACATTTTTGCGTTTTCACGCACTCTCTGGCCAATAGCAGCAATGTTTTCAGCTGTATGTACGGGTCGAACACGGTCATACTTTCTGTTATCCACAAGCAAGCCAGTTCCACGAACCTACTTCACGAATTTTCGTATACCAGTTGCGGACGGAGCTTCATTCCGACCAAATAGTCTTCTCAATTTTCGCAACACAGCACTCACCTTGCGAGTATTTCACCTTTGTTCAAGATTGGTCACAGCGGAAGTCAATATGTTGAGCATGGAAGTGATACCAACTGTCAAAAAAATACCAACTTGAAAAAACCGACTGCTGGCTCACCCTTTAGTTAGGTCATATTATTTAATACCATTGGATTCCTTTTTACTCCACACGCCTACTGACGGTGAAGTAGAACCGCAAAAATATCTGAAAGTAACATATTGTTTTTTGGATGTTATAAAACCAATAACACCGTGTCACTCATTTTAGTCGGTCTGTCTGTCTGTCGGTCTGTCCGATAATCCTATAACTGCCTATAACTTGAGAATTACCGCTCGAATTTCGATGAAATTTGTACACAACGTTACTACTATGTCAAGGACGCAAAAGCTTTGTAGTCTTTAAAAATCGGCCCCGTGGCGGTACAGAAAAAGGCCTAAAATGAAAAGAGTAAAAATTGTTCAAATTTCATCCTTGACGTTTTAGAGGATCCTGGCTGTTTTTGAAAACTTGGGGGTGGGGATTTTAGGGGAATGGGGAGGGTTACCTTAATTTTTTTGATGTTAGAACATTTATACGCTCCTGACCTTGGTAATTCTACGCACCTATTAAATCATCCTTTCATCTGGCCACGACTGCGGAATGTTCTGTTGTTCTGGTATTTCTGCCGCATCATAGCATAGTGTTTCCTATGCTCTGACCGCGCTGACACGTCTGACCGAGTTAAGTATCGGGGAGAGCTACGTTACCGGTAGGGCAGGGAAATAATGTCTATGGACAAATTGTATGGTCCTGTTTGACTGACTTCTCAGAGGATCTAACTTGTCCTGATCATAACTTTCTATGATAACGGCGTTGCGTAGGAAGTACAGAGTCAACCTACTTGACGCCATCTTTATATGGTCATTTGGAGTTAAAGGTCAAACCCAGAGACGTTGAAAGAGGAAAATCAATCTCAGCGAAATTTATCCATATGTATGCAAAATGGTCATGAAAAAATTCGACACATGAGCGCGTATGGCCTGCAAGGACAAAAAGGCCATTTGCCTGTCTAGCTAATCTGTACTAAGCCTCATTCTGTGCACTTTGTGATTCGGTAGAAAAAACCAACCCAAAGAACAAAAGCTATTTAATTCAAATTTTGGAATATGTTTCAGTCACCTACAATTTGCGATTTTTCAAATTTTTTGTCAGGTGCAATGTCTGGAGAACTGAAAGAATATCCTCTGTACAGTCATCTCAATTTTGTTACATTTCTGTAGACCCACGTATATTGCTCAAAATATGATATACAAAGACAAAGGTTTAAAACTACGAAACGGCTATAATGATTTTAATAGCTATTATCAATTTTTAACGGTATCGCTAACATAACCTATAATCGGCTTCGAGTTACGTAACAAAACGTATGTCCATTTAATTCTAGAATTAATTAATCAGATTAAAAGCACTGGGCTTTAAATCGAGTATTGCTGCTAAGTTCATATTCACCTATTGGCCGAAATACAAAAATTATTTTAGCTCAACAGGGGGGCCGAACTTATAGACTAATCATATTAGCAAATTCCCCCGAAATAATTGTAAAGTGTGGTTTTATTAGGGCAAGTTGTTCAAGGGGGTATTTAAAACATGGACGCCTAAAATTGGTACACCGGTTTTTGTGGGAAAACTTTTTATTTGACAACAAAGAATGAGAAAACGTGTTTTTGGGATTCAAGTGTTGACAGGAACAAAAAAACTTTTTATATAAGATTTTCAGGTATTTATGAAACCTAAAAAATGAGATTACACGTAAAAAGATCTAACTAATAGCAAAAATTTTATGGCCGAAAAATGCGACGATTATTTCACGAAACTACGTGATATTCTTCAAATCCGTAGGATTCATACTTCTAAATAACAACAGCAAAATTGGAGTATATTGGTCAAGTAGTTTTTTGTGAATTCTTAATTGCTTATCCCAAAACATCTGTTTTCCGGCCATCACTGCTAGTTTCTTGAGCAATAAACATTGTTTGTTCAAAGAGCATTTAATAGCAAAATATACGTGTTTACCTTGCTGATATGAATCATAAACCATTCTCAAAGATAAATGTTATTTTTATGCGAAAATCAAAGGTTACGTTTTTTCTTCTAAGCAAATTGAAACATTTCGTATTTATGAGTAACTGAACAAATGCGCTACGATATTCGAAAAATATATGTTACTATACACATTTTAAAACAAAACGGATGTGTCTATCATCTTTTGTTGCAAATCCCTTTTTGCGTAAAAAAAACATTTATCTTCCGGAATGGTTTGCGATTCATATCGGCAAGGTAAACTATTGTATTTTGCTATAAAATGCCCTTCAAACTAACCCTGTATATTGCTCAATAAGCTGGTAGTGATGGCCGGAAAACAGGTGTTTTGGGATAAGCAATTAGGAATTCGCAAAAAATAACTGACCAATCTACTCCAATTTTGTTGTGGTTATTTAGAAGTACGAATCCTACGACTTTAAAGAATTTCAAATATCTGCGAGCAACCATCGTCGCATTACCAATCAGTGCCAAAACCTGCAGTTTGCCTCGGTTTTCGGCCATAACTTTTTTGCTATTAGTCGGATCTCTTTACGTGTGGTCTCATTTTGTAAGTTCCATAAATACCTAAAAATCTTATATGAAAAATTTTTCCGTTTCTGCCAACACTTTAGATTGAAATCCAAAAAAACACGTTTTCTCAGTCTTTGTCGTCGAATAAAAAGTTTTTCCACAAAAATTGGAGTACCCATTTTATGCGTCCATGTTTTAAATACCCCCTTGAACAAGTTGCAGCAATAAAACCAGACTTTACAATTATTTCGCAAACCAGTGGTATTTTCGTCTAATATGATTAGACTATATTAATATAGGAGCATACATCTATTTGCATAATATTTACTTATCTGTATTCGTGAAGTTTTTTCAAGATCTAAGATTGAAAATAATATTTTTTCATTCGCAACCACATTCAAAGATACTAATGATATACTAAAATGATCCCAATTTGTTCAAAAAAGTTTTGACTTCGGTTACGATGTCTATAAGGTTAAATAAACAATCAACCCTGCACTGTGGAATTCTCTTGATAAACCTAAGTATTGATATAATTCCCAAGAAGCTTCCAAAAAGCTTTTTCTGCCGAAGAGAGGACGTTGACGAAATACAGTGTGTGAACGACTCTGAATAATACTTGCTAAAAGGCCACTGACATTTACAAGCGCTATCATATTTGGTCTGCGCTTATTTAGTTTCGGTATTGTCTACTATATATTTAATCCATAAATGTTGACATTTGCTATGTATCTGTATCATAGACTAGAATATTTCAATTGATTTTCAGCATAAAAGTTCAAAACATAAAAGTTATCTTCATCCTATGCACCCACTAATATTATGTTTTTCCATAGGGTTAGCTTTCGAGATAGTCGATTATATGGGTGAGTACGCCTGCATGCAGTGTATGTAGAACATATTACGGTAGATCG